TCATGTCAAGGGTCATTCCGGGTATAGTTGTAGGAGTGTTCATTCCTTATTCCCCTCCCTGAGGAGAAATGAGGATTTCCAAAAACAGCTGTCTCCATCCATGTCCAGCAGGACAAACAAATCCTCTTTAAAAAGAAGGAAACCCCTTTGTTCCAGAATCTTGCCTCTCTGTTACTCCACTTTTCCTGAGAAAGCTGGAGATTGCAGATAGTTTACATGGGGAATGTCAGCTGCCCACATATGAAAATATACACATCATTAAGACCTAAGTGCTTGCGTCTGGAGATAGAGCCGACATTCTCCAGCTGACCTTTTGTCCACTGTCAGAACCACTTCTAATAAGCACTAAGCTCCTCAGGGGGCTGTTTCCATATGTTGAAGCAAAACATATGTTGGGCATTAGCTTTTGTGTTTTCATGCATGTCTGTTTGTATGCCCATGCACACACTATATGTGACAGTATCATACAAGCATTGATCAAAATATGCATAATATGCTATGCTTCCTTTTCTAACATCCATGGGTGTCCTAAGCATGGCTTGCTCTTTCAGGTACAGTCACATTTTTACATGCTACCTAGGAAGGAGCTTGATGTCTTTTCACCTCATGCTGCTGCTTAGGGATGGGGCTCTCTGGCCAAGTTGCCAGGGTTTGAGACTTAGATTTTAAACCTCAGCTGTGTGACCTTAGGCAAATTGCTTAACTTCTGAGATGTTTCTGCATCAGTAAACTAGAGATGTCAATAACAAAACTTGCCTTGAGAGAGTGAGACAAGATCATACTGTGGTCAGCCCCTATTCCTGGCATGTGTTAAGGAGGTGTTCATCATGTAGCTGCCATAAGGACAATGATCATGGCAGTTACCATTGGGAGGTGGGGTTATGTGGAAGGCCCTAGTTGCTAAGAGGATTTTTTTGGCTGTGGCTCCTGAAGCCTCTCTTGGGTCATGGACACCATGATGGGTAAGAAGGGTTCTGTTAATGGGAGTAAACAAGGGCCCAGTGGCTGGAAGTCCAGAGCTCACTCAGTAAATGTCCAGAGTATTGGGAGAGAGGCCAGAAAGGGGAGACAGGCCTGGAACGGTATTTGAGGGGCAGCTCTAAGAAGATTCATAACTTGATCCTGAAGGCAACAAGTATCATAGATACTGTGATGTATAGGAAAATGGCTTTGAGGGCTGTGTTGTCAAACAAAGGGACAAGTGATTATCAAGAATTTATGAGGGGCCTTCTGGGAGAGACTTCTGGAAAGCATAGTGGTGAGGTGGAGATGGAGAGACTCTAGGACTAAAATGGCTAGGGATGTAAAATGCAGACGACCTGTTTTGAGTGAAAGTGATGAGGTCAAAATTGTGTTCTTCCCATGGAACTGGACCAGAACTTATGAACTTCATGTCCACTACCAACTCAGATGCCCCTTATTTCCACTATAAGCAACATCAGGACACTACGGGCATTTTCTCTGTTTTCCTATCTGTGCCATGATGGGTTAAAGAGTGAGCACCAAGGGATCCTCCTTTGAGGGCTCTTTCTAAATATCTCACCCCATTTGTAGGGTGTGTATTTCCAAGATGGCTGGGGGGAGGTGCAGAGGACTATTGATGACCACTGAGGAGACATGAGGGTGGAGGAATCTGGAGATCCAAGGATACCTCCGTGTGTAACTGATTTCCTTTTCACTTCAACTTCTTGAAATGAGACTTTGATTCAGGGACAAAGCTTTGATTATGATCTCTAGACATTCCGGCCTTTTCTGGTATGAAGAGCAGTCTTTTCCTTCTTTCTGTTGCTCGGGGTCTCTAGGGTTAGTGCTCAGGAGAGCAGATGACACTATTGAGGTCATCAGTGGCCTCACTTGAAGGATTCCTCTGGAGGCTCATGACTCTGCAGTCTCCACCTGCCTGTCTACATTTTCTAGATTGGTCTTACTATGTAGCCTCAGGCCTTCACCATGCACTCCCTCTTCATACCTGCATCCTCTGTCTTCCTTGAGCTCCAGCTCTTATTTTAAATCATTCAAGGTTCCCTTCCCAAAATGATCAGTTATCCTTCCCTTTCACTGTTACAGTGAAGGCTGAACTACTGGGGTGAAAGTGATCTAGGGTAACTGAGTGTTCCTCAGGCCTCCCCACACTTGAGAACAGAAAGCTGGCACTGTGGTGTGTCCTGGCCTCCTTCTCTTTCTGATTGGGAAGCAATACTGGAGGGGCTCAATAGTGCCACCTTGTGGACCAGCTGCTAGACTGATGGCCTTGGCTGAATTGGCAAAGGCTCAGCTGGGGCTGGGCTGCTATTTGACCTTGGGTTTGGATCCATCTCTCCAACAGTGAGTGAGCCTGTTATCGTCAGCAGAGGCCTTGGATGTGGGGGTGATCTACACATGCTTCCTGGTTTGAAGCTGGTGGCCTTTTCCCAGGACAGACTCTTGCCTAGTGTTTTCTGTCTAACTCTTCCAGCAGGGTCAAGTTTCCAGTCTAGACCTGTCCCTTGTTGGCAAAACTCATTCCCTGAAGTCACTGGAAAGAGGATTTAGTTTGCATCACATAATCTCTTTTTGTTGACCCAGAAGCTGAATTTAAACCCATAGTTACTAAGCCAAGACATTATTATCTGTCTATTCTGTGGCTGTCCTGTCAGGGCTCTTTGCCTGTGGGCAGCCACCCCCAAGTATGAAAATTGCCTGATGTCATGTGCACAGATGTGTTACCTCTAGAGTCATGGCAGCCCTGTTGTCCCTGAGAAGAGAACCTTGTTGGTTGCCCTCATCTACAGGTAAAGACTGAAGAGGGATGAAGAGGCTTCAGGCTAGATACTGTTTTGTCTCTGACTTCATCTTCCCAAAAGTCTTTTCCAGGTGGCTTCAGACCATTTTAGTCTTTTCTTTCTGTGAACTCATAGGCTGCTGGCAGATTTTACAGTGTCTTACTCTCTACTGTAGCAGATAGAGGAGGGGACCAATTGACCATCACTTCCAGTCACATCTTAACCAAAAATAATCCAGCCTAGGTTCAAATTTCTTCTCCGTTACTTCTTGGCTAGATGATCTTGGGGAAATTACTTAACCTTTCTGAACTTTCTTCTTTTGCAAGGTGGATGACATAGAAATCCCTATCTCATAGAGCCACAGTGTAGATTAAATATAGTAATTTGTGTTAGGTGTTCCATTCACTATTGAACAGGGTTGGGTTTTAGAGTATGTAAAACATTGTTATAGACTGTTTTTTATTGCTTTCCAATGTTAGATACATAAGTAAATTTCATTTGTTAGTAAAGAAAAGCCAGGGGCTAAGAAAATTTGAAGGGCATCAAGTTCAGGTTTAGTTTATTGTGTATAATTCCCATATGTACCCAAGGAACACTGTGACTTTTCTGGTAGGGTGTCACCTTATGACATGCCATTTAAATGTCTAACTGGAGAAAAGCACTCGAGGTCAAGATCACACTGGCTTGACTTACCCTTTTCTCTCCTACCCTCCCCATAACAGCTGGGTTTTGTGTAGGTGAAAAATAGACAGACCATGGTGCCTAGTCCAGACAGTTTGGCAACTTGGGCCCCTCCTCTGTGAAGCTGAAAAATGTCTTCCTTCTCCCCGGCAGCTCCCACACCCAGCATCTCTGTGTTATCTTTGCTGACTCGTACTAGGATCAAGACCAAACCCCAGCACAAGGCACTCTGTCAGCTTTATGATTGACACTTAAGCAGTGAGCAGCCATCTGCCAGTCATAGCACCCCCCCCCCATCCAGCCAACTCTCATTTTCCTGAGGCCAACTTGCCTACAGCTAATGGCTTGTCCTCCTATTTTATTGCTTGCAGTTATTGGTTCTGAAGAGACTAAACTGCCAGAATCATACAACCAAATGTATCCACTTCTTAGGGGGAGCTTTAAAAAAAAAATTACTGAATTCCCAAAGTTCAAAAGGTGCCTTATTCATCTCTGGAGCACTTCCCTCCTTCCACAGGAAGAGATGGAGCCACAGGCAAGGTCAGAGGTTAAAAGTATCACAGGCCCTTGGCTCCAGTAGGAGAGTGAGCATCTTCCCTTCAGGACACAGTTGTGAGTTCTTAGAACAGAGAATGGGAAGAGGACAGGAGTGAACCAGGCAGGGTTCACAGAATGCAGAGGGAACTGCCACCCCCTAAGACAGCTCATGGTGGAAAATGTGCTTTATCTAGAGCTTGGTGAAAATGGCTTTGTAGCCACACCACAGGCCACCTCCACCAGGACTGGGACCTCTCCAGCCAGCTATGGATGGAGTCTCCAGTGGGGATGTCCCACAGAGGGCAGGACTGGGAAAGAGAGAATGGTTTTCAGCATGTGAAACAGAAAGTCAGTCACTTCGTTTATTCAGTAGGGATGTGCCATCTGCTACCTCTCCATCCTACTACCCCCAGGGTCGACTTCCTGAAGGCACTGCCTAATGGACCTTAGCACGTGCCCCAGCCCCATCTGTGTAGCTGGGAGAGAAAGCAAGCCATTCATAATTCACAGAGTCCACTCCTTGCAGTTTTCTGAAAAATTTCCCTGTGATTTGTTAAAATCCAACTTGAAATTCTGCTGCTTTGTCAAGTCCTGGGAGCAGCTAGCAAGGGTGAATATCAGAGAGGGGATGGGTGAAGCTGGGGAAGCAAAACTCTGAGAGGCCAGGTGACCTCCATGAAGTCACATGACTAGAAATCTCACACTAAATCTGGACTCATTTACTTCCATTCATTCTGTAATTTCCCATCCACACGAAACACTGTTCATGCATCCTAGGCCCCCCCCCTCTCTCTCTCTCTCTCTCTCTCTCTCTCTCTCTCTCTCTCTCTCTGTGTGTGTGTGTGTGTGTGTGAGAGAGAGAGAGAGAGAGAGACAGAGGGCAGGTGCCCAAATACCGGGACATGTATCTACATCTATCATCACCTGGCATCTGGCTTGCCTTTGACCCTGCATCTGTGGGTCAGCTCCAACCACCCTGTCCCTTCTTCCTCACTGACAACAGTCCTTTCCTTCTTCCAGTCCCCAGTTTTCATCACCCAAGTTGGTCAGGACCTGGTCTCCCAGACAGAGGCGAAGCTCCTGCAGAGGCCCTGCAAGGAACTCTTCTCTGCTTGTGCTCAGTAAGTGTTCCAGTCATCAGGGTCCTCCCATCTGGGAAAGTCCTGCCTACTTGGATAGATCATGCCTATTTGGGCATACCTCTCTGCCTACCTGGGTGACCGTTACCACACCTGGACAGACTCCTACCCACATAGGAAAATCATGCCTTCCTGGGCATACCCCTATCTTCCTTGAAAGATAGTGCTTTTGGTTTTAGATCAAACCCAAAGCCTGGGTTTTTGGGGACTGTATCCCGCTCTGTCCTTTCCCACCTCTGAATCCTAGCCCCTCTATGTCAGGCAAGTCTGCATCTAGTCTCACTTCAACTCACGGTCTCTTCAGAGAGTTGTTCCTGAGTTCTAATTTAGTATATCTTATCTCTGGGATTATTGACTTGACCTTTGTGATTTACTATGTTATGTCCCCATTTGATAACCCACCCCATACTCCCTGATATACTATAGGACTTGAAACAAATGCTGTCCCATGGCAGGCACACTGTGAATGGCTTGTAAGGTCAGTCTAGTTTAAGCAACCATTTACAGAACAAACAGGCTTCTGGCCAGATATGGAGCATCCGTTGCAAGGCCTGGCTTGTTTGCAGTTCTGAAGGCCGTAACCCACTCGACTGTCTGACTCTGTCAAAGTGGAAATTATAACATGGTCATCTTTTTGTCACTTCTGGGCTAGGTCTGTCCATGACTACTTAAAGGGAGACCCCTTCCATGAGTACCTGGACAGCATGTATTTTGACCGTTTTCTGCAGTGGAAATGGTTAGAAAGGTGAGTACCATTCACTCCTCTCATTAAAATGTACAAGTGTGAGAGGTAAGGTACAGAGTTCATCTGTATGGTAATTCATACAGAGATAAGATACCTTCCATAAACCCCTGACAACAGTCAAATTGACCATCCTTCCACTAAGTTTTTGGGTATTTTAGAAATGCTATGGGCTTATGAAAGCAGGTTCTGACTTGGTTGTGTGCGCACACACACATCAGCTTATTCATGCTTGTTTCTCTGTCTTTCTCAAATGGATTCTCTCTGTGTGTGTGTCTCTGTCTGTCTCTCTCCCTCTCTCTCTCTCCCTCTCTCTCTCTCCTTCTCTCTCTCTCCTGAAGGTCAAGCCCTGCACCTGCTGAATACATGTTGACTATTCCCCAGCCCCCACTCTTGGGTTATTTTGTGCTACTTTCCATAAAGGATGAATAGCTTTGTACATAAAACTCTGTGTACTTTTGGCAGTACACTCTTCAAAAGGCACCTGATTGTAACCTGTAAGGGTCTGTTCAATTGCCCTCAAAAACAGCCACCTCCAGTTTCCAACCCTGCCAGTGCCTGAGCCCCTGCTCCTTGTATTCCATATTGTTCTCATGTTTTCCTGCCACAGTGAGCAGGGGGTATCTTTACTCTTTATTTTCCACCTCACTAATTATAAGTGAGATTGAGCATCTTTCTGCAGGTTATTTTCTGCCTCAGTCTCTCTAATGTGTTGTAAATGGTTATGCCAATATAACCTTTTTTTTTTCTTTTCTTTTTTTTTTTTTTTTTTTTTTTTTTGCCTTTATGTAGTGGCTGTAGGAAAGGCTTCTGGCCCAGTATCAGATGCCAGCTTTTGGCTGTCTTCTCAGGGACACCTGGGCTGCCCTAGTGCTAAGTTGGAAGCCAGGTACTGAGGGGTTCTGTGGCATGGTACCTTATCTGATGAGGATCAGCAAAGAGAAAATTATGTCACACTCATGAACTGGAAACCTGGAACCTGGAGTTCCCAGAGTTTTCAGGGTTGTGTCAGGGGCAGTTGTAGTGCCAAAGGCAATTTCACTGAAATCCAAGCCTATCCGTTTTTTAGAGGGTATGGCTGTTCAAGCATTGCTGAAGGCTTGTGGGTCCTTCTCAAATTGATCCAGTCCTTTGAATCAGTTTAGTCTCCTCTAGTTCCTGTCCTGATCAGGAATCTTGTAGGGCATGGGGTCTCTCTCTCTCTCTCTCTCTCTCTCTCTCTCTCTCTCTCTCTCTCTGTGTGTGTGTGTGTGTGTGTGTGTGTGTGTGTGTGTGTGTGTGTGTGTGTGTGTAATAGCCCCTGTGCTCCAAGAGGTGGTTTTCCCATGTCACATTGATTAATCCTTGTCAACCAGGCCAGGGATTAAAAAACAAGCTCTTCACCCTGGAGTTCTTGGCAAATGCTAGATGATTTTATTTATTGACTCCTGGGAATACCATCTATGCCTTTTGATCAGAAATCCTGTCTGATCAGATGTGCTAAAATGGCTCTTGCTCATTAAACTGGGAAGCTGAAGACAGAAAATGATGGATATTTTAGTACCACCTCTTTGGCCATTCAGGGTATTCTAGTGCACTGGGTAGATGGAAATGTAACAAAGTAGTTCCTGTGAAGGAAAGGTTAAGAGCTGATGATCACAGAGTGCCTGGACCAGACCTGTAACCAGCAGCATTTGCTCTAAGTGAGGTGTCCTCACTCATGAGTGCCCAGAACAGTAGGGCCATCTGCTAGGCAGGCTGGGGAGGACTATGCGGTCCTATGTGGCCTCTTCCTCCCCTCCTCTTCTCCCCTCCACTTCCTCCCCTCCTCTTCCTCCCCTCCTCCCCCCATGTATGCATGCTTGCTCTTTTGTGCACCATATGCAGCAGATTTCCCTTTTGGGTCTGGCCACAGTCTAAGTTTGGGAGTGAGCAAAAGGATGTTGTCAGTGGACGGGTAGCAGCTAGGGAGCCTTTAGTTGCCTGGGTTGGGCTGAGTTCCTGCAAGAGTCCTGACTCAACCTGGTTAAACACTGTGGGCTTCTTCTTCCAAACCTTCTCCATGCTCTTCTGAACAAGCTGCCCATGACCTGTAGCCAAAGGTCTGAGTCTCTAGCACAGCCTTAGAGGAAGGCACTGCATGTCCTTGGCTGGTTCCTTGCCAACCACCCTTACCTGTTTCCTATGGTTCTCAAATCTTACCTTTAGGAGATGAGTGTCAGATTCTTGATATTTTTTCAGGCAACCAGTGACCAAAAACACTTTCCGGCAGTACCGAGTGCTGGGAAAAGGGGGCTTTGGAGAGGTGAGTGAACATCTTCATTAAGGGTCTTACCCCTCCTGTACCCCTTTTAGGTCAGTAGTGCTTTCAGAAGGATCTTCTGATAGCAGAGACGGAGGGCAAGGGTCTGGCCTGGGTGCTGACACATTTGTGAGGGAGAAAGGAGGGTAACAGAGTCTTTGCTGCCCTGTGTGGGCAGTTAAAGCGGAGGTTCTTTGCAGCCAGCCTCAGATGGGGGCTTCAAGGGATGGATGGGAATCCTGGGTTGAGTTTGAGGAGGGGAATCCAAGGCATGAGGGTACTGAACAACCTTGGCCATTGAGAGGTCCAGGTGATGCTATTAGTGTATCTTGTTATAGGAGTAGAGATTTAATACATATTATCTTGTTTTCTCAATATTTGAGGTCAGCCTTGTTTCTACTTTGGAGCTAAGGAAAACTGTTCAGAAAAGAGCAGAACTAGTGCAAACCTCTCAGTGCTTCTTCCCATTTCTCTGAATTGTAAAGTTAGGGTTCTTGAAGGTCTTCCTTCACTGCCCCCCCCCCCAAAAAAAAACAAACCCTTCCAGCTGGCAGGAAAAACTTAGTTGTACCTGATTGGGGGATCAGGGGTAGCTCTTGAAGCCTCTAACAAGTCACCTGACTTTATTCTGTGGTTATTTCAGTTCCTTCAAGGCCAGGAGTCTTCGCAGGGGAGGAGGAGTCTTGCAGCTAGTTCATAAAGGCAGAGCCCAGGCAGCACTGGGTACAGCCATAGCTGAACGCCAGTAACCACAGGCCAAACCTGCTGGCTTTGGCCCAACCAGTTCCAGCTCCAGACACCTGACATCCTGGCCTTGGAGTTAGGTAAAACACTTTAGTATACTATGACAGTAGTGTCTGCTTCTACTTCAGGTCTGCGCCTGCCAGGTTCGGGCCACAGGTAAAATGTATGCTTGCAAACGCTTAGAGAAGAAGAGGATCAAAAAGAGGAAAGGAGAGTCTATGGCACTCAATGAGAAGCAGATCCTTGAGAAGGTCAACAGCCAGTTTGTGGTAAGTGTCCAGTACCCAGCCACAGGCCCACTCTTCTGCTGATGGGACTCTCTTCCCTCACTAGGAGCGGTAGTCCCCCATGAAGTCAGTCCCCACTTCTGGGATCTCCGTTCTCTGGGACCACATTATAAACTCCTCAGTGAACAAAACTCCAGGCCCAGACAAGGATCTCTGGGTTCCACAGATATTCTTGTCTGGTTTCATTGTGGTGGAGACCATCATGGTGGAGTTTTCTAGAGAGGTGCTATTTTGTTTTCATGCCTCCTGGTCAGTCTAGACCAGACTCTGCCTAAGTAACCAATTAGCCCTAACTTTAAGCAGCTGCATACAACAAAAGCTTATCTGTCAGTCTCATCAAGTCTAGTCAGATTGAGCAAACCACTCTCTTCACTTACTGACTACCCTAACCGAAGCCAGGAAAGAATGCTGCCGGTTCTCCATGCCTCTGCTGGACTAGCATTCCATGCTTTCACACATAGTCCATTGGTCACAACTAGTTTTGTCAGGGACAGGCTTCCTGCAGAGGAGGCTGGGGAATATAAAGGTGCATGGATATTTGTTAAGCTCTAAATGTTTCCTTCACATGCTATTATAAAAACATATATATGAGAAGTAAAATTCAAATGACACAGAAAGATACACAATAAAAACAAATACCTCCTTTTATGAGTAGTCATTCCATGCATGCTTTATTCATGTATAGGCTTTATTATTTTTAGCTAACAGGGCCATCCTGTACATATTATGTATGCTATGATGATTTTTTTTTTACCCTGAAGTTGATTTTTTTTTCTCTGCCTAGACCTACAGCCTAGCTAGCCTGCCCCCTTAAAAAAGAAAAAAGTATACAACCCTGTTAGATATAGTCCATCTCTACAAACTGAAATAATTTCTCATTTGTAAACCTCTACCAACCATGCTATGATGCCCAATTTTAAATATTCCCTGATATGCTTCTGTGGATAAAGCCAGAGGCTAGATTCATAGCAAAGACACTATAATAAGGACTATGCACATTATCTGAACATTGTTCTCAACTGATTGACCCTAGTGGTATGGAAGCAGTCATCACCTTTGCAGACCTTGCAGAAGGTCAGGGTTCTATTTGCCGATGTCCCTTTCAGCCCTTTACTCTGAGCCACTTGTCAGAAGATTTGAACACAAGTTCTTTGCTGGCTATAAGGGAAAGTAGGCACAGGGTATGAGATGGTTTGTCCCCTCTACTCCCCTCTATCTCCTAGTGTTAATGACTCAAGAGGAAGGCGTGTTAGTCAGTGGCAGTTGCTGTGACCTTACCATAGTGCTGCTCTGTGTTCCCAGGTTAATCTGGCCTATGCCTATGAGACCAAAGATGCACTGTGCCTGGTCCTAACCATAATGAATGGGGGTGACCTGAAATTTCACATCTACAACATGGGGAACCCTGGCTTTGAAGAAGAACGAGCCTTGTTTTACGCAGCTGAGATCCTCTGTGGCCTGGAAGACTTACACCGTGAGAACACTGTCTATAGGTGAGCAGTGCTCTCAGAGTCAGGCTGGGCCCTTGAACTCCTACAGCAATAGTCCGGAGCTCCCAGGAATCCAAGTGACATCGACCGCTCTCTCTATAGTGTCTCTGGCCTGTAGTGATGAGAGAAGCCTAGCTTATAAAATTATATTCTCCAAATTCCTCCTCTAAGAAGAGACTGTGACCACCATCCCATTATCTAGCACCCTGGGATACTCAGTGGATCCTGTTTGCTATCTTGAATCAGTCCCAGTGAGATGAAGGAATAGTCACTGTTCAAGGCCTGTCCCATAGCCTGTACTACCCAATCCTGAGCTTATTGTAACTTTCACCTTCCTCCCCTCACATCTTAACACCACAGTGGCCTGGACTCTATAGAGCCCCATACCAAGATGCTTCTCACAGTGAGCAGGACTTCATAGCCCCTCATAGTGCAGAGGATTTTGAAAAGCTCTCTTGCCTCTCCCTCACTTTAAAAAAGATTTTTAAATTTATGTTTGTGAGTTTGCCTGTATCAGTGCCTGCTGAGTCCGGGGCAGTGGCTTCTCTGGAGCTGGGATTATAGATGGTTGTGAACCATCTTGATATGGATGCTGGAAACCAAACTCTGGTCCTTTAGAAGAGTATTAATTACTCGCAACCACCAAGCCATCTCTTCTGTCTCCCCTCCTGCACTTTGAGCACATATTGAATTATTCCCTTATGTGTTCAGGAGAAGGGGCTGATGTTTTATATTGGCCAGTTATAGCTCCTTTTTCAAGGGACTCACTGGAATCTAATTTTTGTAGAAAATTGATTTCCACCATCATGTGTCTAAAAAAAGAACCAAAAACAAACAAATAACAAAACAAAACAAAAAGCTGGCAAGCACCTGAAAGGTAAGGACTGATCATAGAAGCTCCACACCGGGCATTGGCATTGCCAGCATGTGGAAACTGTCAGTCCTCATGGACTGCACCTACACAGTCAGTTGATGACTTTACATGAAGAGACCAAGAGGATTTTAGAATCAAGAAAGAATATTCCTGAGAGGTCCTGCCCCAAATGATAGCCCCTGCCTATACTTCTTTCTATTTTGTGTTTATTATAGTAAGAAGTCAGAAGAGTTATCCTAAGGGCTAAAAAAAAAAAAAAAAAAAAAAAAAAAGAACCTCTTTAATTATCTTTCACTTAAAAGTGTGGTGGGGAGTAGGGGGACAAACTCTCAAGTCCTAAATTCTCTTTCTTTAGGGCAGGGAAGACCTAAAGCAGTGGTTTTCAACCTTCCTAGTGCTGTGACCCTTTAATACAGTTACCCATCTTGAAGTGGCTCCAAGCATAAAATTATTTTTGTTGCTATTTCATAACTATAGTTTTGCTACTACTATGAATCATAACATCAATATTCTTGTTTTCTGATGGTCTTAGCTCTGCTTTCACAGGTTCGTTCTATACCAACAGGGTTGTGACCCACAGCTTGAGAGCCACTGGCCTAAGATATTCCCCTGTCTTGACTACCTGCCTTAGATTATATGTGGATTTGATCCTGTCCAGTGGTTCTTGGCAATCTGTTGTTTCCAACCCACGGCCACTAGTTTCTTGAGTTGAGAGTTCTTGCCCTTATTTGGAAATGCTAGCACATCAAAAGAAGCCCATGTAAATAATAAAAAGCAGCAAAGCTGGTTTGTAATAAAGAAGGGTATGCAAATACCCATCTCATTTGGTGAGACTGCCCAGGATTTGGATATATGAACCACTTCCTGCAAGAACAGCTGCCATCAGTTAAACAAAGCTGGCTGTTGCGGAACTGGAGCATCCATCCAGATGCCAGTATTGTTAGCCCTGGGGTGTAAACAACGGTACACATCCCAATCTAAGCTACAACTTTATCCAGCTTTCACTGGTAAATCCAGAGTCTTCTGCCTACTCCCCTTTCTGGAGGGCAGAGGTTCCCCTTTCTGAGAAAGATCCTGTCACTGAATTGAGGAGACATTGGGGATAAGGTGAAGAGCATCACAGCAGCTGTGCCTTCTGCCCAAGCTTCTTTCTGGGCCTTGACAGAGCAGGACTTAGGAGATGCGCCAGCCTCCTGGGACCTCTTCCATAGGTATCTTTCCTCTGGCTCATCTTCACCATACAGCTTTCGTCTTAGTGATAGTACTGGTGCTCTGGTCTTGGTGTCTCCTCTTTGTTCCCAGGGCCTGCTCTGCCTACAGGGTATTCTGTGATATCAGGTCTTCCCAACCCTCCAGAGAGTCTCTGATCATACTAGACAGTGTCCTCTGTCCCATGGAAGACCTCTGCGAGGACAAGCACTAGAATTGGCCTTTCCTAACCTCTAGTTACTCTCTAGGAAAGAGAAGCAGCCATTGGCAAACCTCAGCATTTGTTTTAAATTACTGGGAGGAGAGAAATGATCTCACAATGGTCTTGACACAGAGAGACCAGACATCTTGAGGCACCTGGGTCTGATTGGCCTCAGAGGGTCAGCCCAGATGCTTTGTGTCTTTGCTGCCTGGAATGGTCATGCTCAGATGCCTTTTGTTTTCACCTTGCAGAGATCTAAAACCAGAAAACATCCTGCTGGATGATTATGGTAAGTCAGGGGTTGGAAGATGGGGGCCTTTTCTATTACAGTATCTGAGGTTAATGTCCCAAGTTACCCAGAACAAAGGCCTGCAGAGACTCAGGAATGGTGGAGACTGGGCCAGGACCATGGGAAGGGTTGGAGGTCCATAGGGCAGTTCCTGCTCTTTACTCCTAGGCCTGAGGGAGAATCCTTCTGTGTGAAGCAGTGTACCTCAGCTGACTCTGATATCTAAGCCAGTGTCAGTGACAGAGAGTAACAACCAAAAGCAAAGGAAGCAAAGGTTTGGAGGCTTTGGGTAGTGCTGCACATCCATGCCGTTTGTCCTGCTCTTTTCCCTGTTTGTGAACCAGAAACCTCAGGACTGTACTGGATGTGGGTGCTGGACTATGTAGGATACTATGTGACAGCCCACAGGAAACAGCCTGTTGGATTCCAGCAGCTGTGGACATGTCATTATCTGTGTACTGTCATTGTTACTTGCCCTTGGGCGTAAGGATGTGGGTAGTATTCCCCCATTCATTTCAGTTCCTCACACATGCAGCATGTACCTGACTAGGTCTTCCTATCTCCACGGAGGGACAGGTGGCATCCAAGTGTCCATCTTACATACATACATTCATACATACATACATTCATACATACATACATACATACATACATACATACATACATACTAAGCCTGAGACTCAGAAGAGCCAGCCTGACCATGGCAAAGATACTACCAAGTCTCCTACATGTTCCTGGGCTACACGGCCCTCCTCTTCCTACCCAGTTTGGTGACCTGAAGAGAGCTGTGTGTGGAGGAACAGGGAGTCCTCTGAACGGTCCAGGCTGCACTTTCTGAACTACTCACACTGAAATCCCACAGTGGCAGTCCACTGCTGGTACAACATAGTCTCTCCCCTTTCCTGTTAGGTACCACAGAGCTGGATACCATCTAAGATACTCAGGCCTGACAGGCATTTATGGACAAGGGCATATGTTCCTTCCTGGTTATAAAATGTAGCCATGACCCTGCCTAGGTAGAGGTAGAAAGTGCTGCCTGGGCCTTGGGGGCCAGTTTGAACTCTGAGCTCAGATTCCAGACCAGGCCCTGCCTTTCTCATTTCTTCATTTCTTTGCAGGAAAAAAAAAAAAAACAAACAAACAAACAAAAACCCACACACCTCTAAAGACCAATCAGGAAGGCAGGGAGTGGTTTCCCAAATTGCTTTACAACTTTTTTCCCTTAAGCAAATTGTCGCAAAATGTCAAGAACCTCATATTTTTCCTGTGAAGCAAACCCAGAATCAGCCAAGATATTTTAAACCCTGTGACCTCAGCCTTCCAGGAAGCTTGTGGGGCATTAAATGTGACAGACCAGCCAGTGGCCAGGCTTGTCCAAGCATCCTTCTGCGTCTTCATTAAATGTTTCCCTCATTATGTGCAATTTCTACACATCTCACCTACCACATGGTTACCCTGAGAGAATAGACTGAAGTCACATCTTCATTGGACAGAGGCGTTGTGAGTCTGTGTGTCTGACCACATGGCTGTAGGAACCCATTGACCCTGCTGTCCCCAACAGGCCACATTAGGATCTCAGACCTGGGATTGGCTGTGAAGATCCCCGAAGGAGACCTTATCCGTGGCCGGGTGGGCACTGTTGGCTACATGGGTGAGTAATACCTTATACCTATCACAATTGAGCCTTCCTGTGGCCATTACTCATAAGTCTTCTAGTCTCTGGTTTGCTGGTCAGAAGTATTGTGCTGATTTTCCATAGGGATTCTTTGGAGGGCCAATCAGGTGGGGTGGTATAATGGGACCCAAGATGTGACCTAAACTGAATTCTCTGTAACCCCCAACCACAAGCCCACCTAGGTCTCAAAGATAAGCCATCCTTGGGGTTTGGACCAGGGCCTGGTACTAGCATTTCTAGGGGAGCCCTTGTTGAAGAAGGACCTACCTAAATGAGGTATCAGGTAGACAGTTCTTTGGGAAGATTTCTGAGAAGAGGGAGGGCATTAAGAAGACCTCTAAAGTTAGAGGAGCCTACCATGTTTCCCAGCTTGGTTCTAAGTAGGAACCACTCTGCCTCCTTTCTGCCTGCTCCAAGACTAACATGCTGGGAAGAGACCTGGAGTTAAACTCTTAGAATTTCCTGCTTGTATCCCTAGTTACCCTGAGATGTAGGGGTCCCTGAAAGCTCTAGGTGAGATACCTGTTGCCCTCTGCCCAGGCCTGCACCTGCAGATGATGTGTGGGATTCAGTACATTGTATCTAGTTTTAGATGGTCCTTTTTCACACCACATAACAGTTGGTAACATGTGGGATATGTGTCTGTGTAAATGTGTGTATATGTAACCATGTGAATTCTGATAGATTTGATAGATCTGAGGGATACATGGAGAATAGATGGATAGAGGATGGATGGATGGATGGATGGATGGATGGATGGATGGATGGATGGATATATGGGCAGAGAGGCAGATGGATAGATAAAGATACACCTCTTCATGTACCTGTATGGAAATCTGTTTACATGTTTGTATCACTCTCCTCTTAGACACTGTTCTGAACGCTTTGTCTATACGTAGCCTCTGTCACATGTCCACTGGTGCATGTCATGTGTACATGCTTTTCATTCTGGCTGGCCTCAAGACATGTAGCCATCTCTTTTGTACTTCTATGGTGAATCTGTGAGTCATCTTGTCAAAGTGGCAGTGAAGATACAGTAAAAGATTTAAAGATTATTTTATGTGTATGGGTGTTTTGCCTGCATGTATGTCTGTGAACTTAGTTGCCACAGAGACCAGGAGAGGGTATTGGATCCCCTGAAACTAGAGTCACCTGTGATTGTGAGCTGCCATGTGGGTGCTGGGAATCAAACCCAGGTCCTGTAGAACAGCAACCCCATCTCTCAAAAAATGATTTGAAGTCCAGGTAGATTAAATATAATCTTTAATTTAGATGGGTACCCTTCTGCAGTGAAATAAATATGTATGCAGCGCACCCTGTGTATAGAAGCCATGCCTGTCACTTGAGACAAAGCAGGGAAAACTATGGTGTGTATTCTGTCTGAGGAGACATTCCCAACCATCATAATTAGAGTTCTGAGGCCTCTGTAGAGCCCTTGGGCACAGTGAAGCATCATGTCAGGGAAGGCTTTCTAGACAAAATGGTATTTGCACACCTGCTGAGTTGAAGTTGGGGTTTGGAAGGAAGGTAGCCTCAGCCCAAAACTCCAGTCTTTCTGTGAGAGTGCATCGCCCTTGGGTACTGCTGGGATGAGGAGCAGCACTGGCCTGTGTGCTTGGGCTGCATCTTACTGCCTGTTGTCCCTCATTCTTTCTCCTCCTTCTGTCCTCAGCCCCAGAAGTCCTGAACAACCAGAGATATGGCCTGAGCCCTGACTACTGGGGCCTGGGCTGTCTCATCTATGAGATGATTGAGGGCCAGTCACCATTTCGAGGCCGCAAGGAGAAAGTTAAGCGGGAGGAGGTGGATCGCCGGGTGCTGGAGACTGAGGAGGTATACTCCTCCAAGTTCTCTGAAGAGGCCAAGTCCATCTGCAACATGGTAAGCTCTTGGTGAGCCAGATGCTGCCCATAGGCTACTGCCAAGTAGTGGTATCAGCCTGTGTCTAAAACATCAGACAGGCTGAAAGGTCAGGAACAGTAGTACATACAAAGTTGTGGCTTCTGTTCCTTGATCTGGATGAGATGGTCAGACAGGCTTTAGGGGAAGCATGGCATATTGGGCAGGATACCTCATGAACCAAGAACTGGGGATTGAGTGAACATCCATGAAGGCATGTAGCTTTGTGGAGAAGTCAGCCAAGGATAGAGATGATGGCCCAAGTTGATTCACAAGCAAGTTTCTGCTTTGACCTTGGGCCTCCCTTTCCCCTTTCCCTCAGCTCTGGATTCTAAACACTGGTTTGAGGGTAAGGACTACAGGAAGGGTGTTGATATCCTTGGGGTCTTTGGACATATTCTTATAGTTTTCCATCCACTGTGTGGAGAGGTGGTCATAGCTCAATTTCTGTATGACAGCATCTGTGAATGGGTAGGACATACAAGTGTGGAGGATTAGACTATCTAGAGTGGATTGGGGCCACGTATTGGACATACTTAGCAGCCATAAGGAGAAAGGTTCCATGGCTGGGCCTTGGGCCCTTCCTTTGACATTGTGTGAAGTCAGGTATTTCTTGCTCCTTCCTGGCTTTCAGGCTCCCAAGTCTCACCACAAGCAGATGCCCTCTGATGCCAACCATAAACAGACCAAAAAGACTTGAGTATCTAGCTCCACATATTTACAAGCCCATAGACTACCTTCCTCTGGAACTACACTGTATCTGGAGCAGCAGAGAAGCCCAGTGAGAGGGGCCTCTCCTCTTAACCCTCCCAGTCCTCAAGTGACCCTGGGATAGGCTGGAGTGTATACACACAAATAGCCCAGGGTAGAGCTTAGGGAGAGCCAGGACTAGAAACCTGAAAGGAAGTAGCTAAGCTTCTGCATTTAGAGGGTTGTTCCACTGAAACTAACAAAATAAACCTTGCTGGCGACAGTGTCTGCTATGCTACACCAGGCCCCTGACTCTAAATTGAAAATTCCAAATGTGATCCTCCACCCCTGCTTTAATCCCAGGGCCTGGGTTAGGGCTTAAATACCTCACCCTTTTCTGCAACCACTCTGCCTGGCCACTTGTGTGTCATAGAGCTATTGGAAAGACTTGTGGTTGGATCTTCCATCTGATTAAATCCAAAAGAAGAGGAAGTTTCCCTCTGCCCTGACATGTGTAAAAGACATGATGAAGAATGGCATGTAACACACAGACCTTAAACCCACAGCTTGTTAACCAACCTCAAAGAAGCAGTGCAGCAGACTGTCTCTGCAGTATAGTCAGGGTGGGTACCAGAGGAACAGGCAACAGAGGTTGAGAGGTAGGGAGATGGCTGCAGTGATACACGATTACAGCATGGTCAGCTATCCGTGTGGTGTGACAAGACACACAGTCTTAGGTCAGGGGTAGCAATTCTAAGAAGCTGACCTCAACATGGATGTGAACATATTGAGAGGACGAGGCAAACATGACCCCTACTTCTAATACCACTACCACTGTAGCTGGTTTGTTCTTCAGAATGTTAGCTCCTGAATAATGACAGATTTTTTTTATTATTATTAATTATGAAAGCTTGGCCCTAGCTTAGACTTGTTCCCAACTAGTTCGTACAACTTAAATTAGCCTGTTTATATTAATTTACTCTCTGCCATGTGACTCATTACCTCTCCTCAGTACTGTATATCCGATGGCTTCCTTGTGTCTGGCTGGCACCTCAGATTCTTTCCCAGAGTTCTTGTCTCTATCTGGAAGTCCCGCTTATCATAACTCTCCTGCCTAGCTATTGGCCATTCAGCTCTTTATTAAGCCAATCAGAGGGTGCCTTAGACACATCTTTACACAGTATACAAAAAAAGATTATCCCAATGTATCACCATCACCCCTCTCCCCCCAACTCCCCAACCTTCCTACTTCAACCCCAGGCTTTGAGTTGAGCTCTTATTGCTAGGGACACTGCTGTCCCTCTCCTGCCCCCTTGTGGCCACTTTGGGAAGGCTTTGAGTTGAGCTCTTATTGCTAGGGACACTGCTGTCCCTCTCCTGCCCCCTTGTGGCCACTTTGAGAAGGATGTTGGCTAAGCTTTATACTCCTGTCTGTAGCTGAAAAGGAGCAAATGGTTGATCCACCAGAAGCCTCAAGCTTTGCTCTGTTTTCTCTTGTGCTCTTGGATTCTGGTCTGGACATCCTTTCCTTTGTCATATATACTCTGTTCTGCTGCAGTGCGTGACCTGTAAATCATGAGGGCAGCTACACAAACAGCAGGGAAAGTTGTTCTCCATTCCATCTTGCAGCCATGCCTCTTGAGGTCTAGAAGTTTACATATCTAACTTCCTTGTCCCTGGATGTAATCCTGAGTCCCGGACATGCACCTTCCTTAGGCTCCTGCCTAAGGAGTCCCATCTCTGTGTCTTCTCCACCCATTTTAGTCCAGATCACATACGTATAGTCCTCCACATCCAGGGAACCTACTCTGTCTTCTCACACCCTACTGTAGCCAAATATTTTTCTCTGGTCCACTGAACCAGTTTTTCCCCTTCGCTGCAGCTGCTTATGAAATAATCACTCAGAGGCTAATAGTAATATAATTTGTTGGCTGATGGTTTAGGCTTGTTACTGCTTAGCTCTTACTTATAAATTAACCCGTTTCTTTTTTTGTTTTGTTTTGTTTTTTGAGACAGGGTTTCTCTGTATTGTTTTGGAGCCTGTCCTGGAACTAGCTCTGTAGACCAGGTTGGCCTGCCTCTGCCTCCCAAATGCTGGGATTAAAGGCCTTTGCCACCAATGCCCAGCTAAATTAACCCATTTTTAACAATCTGTATATCACCACATGAACCATGACTTACCAGTCTGCTGTCATATTGTTCTTTGGGTTGTTGGATGGTATGTCTCTCTTGACCCTGCCTTTCTTTTCCTGTAGATCTGTTTGGACTTCCCACCTACCTATATTCTGTCTTGCTAGAGGCCAAATCAGCTTTATCTACTAAATCAATAAAGGCAATACATATTTGCAGCGTGTAGAAGGACATCTCACCTTCTCTCATGTTAATGTACACCTACCTGATAGCACGTTTATAAACTGGTGACACCATAGGTGGATGTTTTGTTCTACCTGTATGGAGCATTTTAAAAATAAAACAAGTGTTAACTTAATAGGCAAACTTTTTAAATGAAGAGACATGTTAAAATTCTGATTTTTCTAGCTTTTTTTTTTTTTTTTTTTTTTTTGAAAGCATACATCTTGCTTAGCTATCATTCCTGCCTGGTAGTAGCTGATAAGCAACCTAACCATACTTCTCATCCTTTTTTCATCTTCTTATCCTTGATGATGCTACTGATCTGCCAGCACTGTGGGCTCTTGGGGCTATATTAACAGGCTCAACCATTGCACAGCCTTACTTCTTGGTGTTTCTTGGAATGGAGAGAGCATAGCTAAGTTACATATGGAAAAGAAAAACTCAAAGTCAGAGAGATGGCTCAGCAGGTAAAATCGTTTTTTTTTTTTTTTTTTTTTTTTTTTTGGTGCAAGCCTAGTAACCTAAATTCAAGTCCTGGAACCCATGCAAAAGGTAGAGGGAAAACCTGACTATACAAAGTTGTCATCTGATCTCCACACATGTGCTGTGGTACATACACCCACACACAATAATAATAAGTAAACATTGTAAAACGAAATAAATTAGAAAAGAGAAGCCCAGATGTGGGCACTAATCTGTGCCACCAGCCCGTACTACAGGGTCACTAAGGGCATGCCTTAGTTTTTACAAAGATGTGGTCTGGTGCCCACTCTGCTGCTGCTTCAGTTCTTCTGATTGGGGATATATCCCCATGCAGACTGTGAGCTCTAGAAAGTGGCACTGGAGAGGGACACTTGAGAGAGCTGTAGCTACATGTGTTCCCTTTCCCTTCTGTCCTCTGGGCAGATGGAAAGGCCCAACCACATGGCTTCCTGCTACTTTCTTGTCGCAGCTGCTCACCAAAGACTCGAAGCAGAGGCTGGGCTGCCAGGAGGAGGGGGCTGCTGAGGTGAAGAGGCACCCCTTCTTCAGGAACATGAACTTTAAGCGCTTGGAGGCTGGGATGCTGGACCCTCCCTTTGTTCCGGATGTGAGTAGCCACCATTGCTCATAGGAGCTCTAAAGGCATCTCCCCCAGACATGCTGTCTAGCAGACCCAGAGTTGTGCCTCTGGTCAGCTAATCCAGCTGTTCTCCTGGAGTACTAAAGACTGCCCAATGTCCCTTTATACACGCTGGCTATTTTGTGGTAAGGCTGAAGATCATGTTGTCAGAATGTACAGATGGGGCATGAGCCATGGTCGTCCACGTTGGTTGTCCAGAAACTTAGGTACTTTCTCCAGTATAGGGGACCTAGACAACCTTCAGTGTCTTTCTTACCTGTCCAGTGAAGTCCAAGACACCTATCTTCCATGAATCTATCTTCCTGCCAGGTACATTGAAGATTGAAATGACCAAAATGGAAAATGCTACAATGAGTATGGAGAACCACCACATTCAGTTCAGTTTAATTGAGCATCTACTGTCCAGTTAAATTAGGATTTTCCTTGAAGATGCTCTAGTCGGTCTGTATACCAAGGGTCACATTTAGCTCACACTCACTAAGGAGTCCCACCCAGCAAGGCCTTTTTGTGCCTCTGTACTTTCAAAGTCCTAGCAGATTGAGGACACTTGTTGGGTTCTGGGGTTCAGCTCATGAACGTTGATGGAAGTGGTACACATCTCTTCCCAGCTCCCTGCTTAGTCACCTCAGGACAAGAGCCTGCAGTAGACTAGGATGGGAATATTGACACTACAGCAATTGGCAAATAATACAAATCAGAAATTTTCATGACCCATTTCCCAGAAGCTGTTGTTAACCATTTGTTCTCACAGCACTGAGGAAGTGAAGAATAGTTCTTGCATATTTGTCAAGGTAAAGGTTGCCTGATCAGCAGGGTAGGAGAACACAGCAGCAGATGTGGGGAGCTAGGACTAGCTACTGGATGCTGAACAGTGTCCATGGTCACCCACCAGAGACCTCTATAATCAGATGTGGCATCCACATCATAGGTCTGACTAGGGAATATTTTTGACATTAGAAAGATTATGTCAGTAAGTGCTGCAAATTCTACATGAGAGGAGGTTCAGCAGTTGGTGCAGGAAATTCAAAATATAACAGTGACTCTCAAAAGTTGCCCATTTGGGATTACCTAAGGAGGAAGAAAAGTACCGATCCTGGCCTGGAGGTGTAGCTCAATTGGTAGAGAGCTTCCCTAGCATGCATGAAGTACTGGGTTTGATCCCCAGTACTATGTTAACCAGGTGTAACCCCAGCACTTAGGAGATGAAAGTAGAAGGATTACAAATTCAAAATCATCTTCAGCTATATAGCATGTTGAAAGGCCAGCCTGGGCTACATGAAACCCTATCTCAAAAATGAGGGAGAACAGCTGAAGAGATACTTCATCAAAAAGTCCTTGCATTGCTAGTGTGAGGACATGAGTTCAGTCCTCAACACCTACATGAAGTGCTTGTAATCCCATCACTGAGAAGACAGACTCCAGGAGATGCATGATGAATAGTATACTGGGTTATTTCCACCATGAAGTCTCAGTCTGAAGAAGTGAAATGTCAGCAAACATTCCTTAAATAAAGTTGGACTAGGAGTCACAGGGAAAGAATGGTACATGGGAGGATCTGTGGGGTTCATTGGCCAGCTCATCTTGCCAAATTGGGAGCTCCAAACCAATGAATAAGAGGCCCTGTCTCAAAGGAAGTATATGGTGTTCCTAAGGATGGCACCCAAAATTGTTCCCTAGTATCTTACCTCCCCCTACCCCCACGAAGTAATAATCTTGTACCCAGGTCTCAAATGATGTTGAACCAAGCCTGGCCCATCAGATTTTTTCAAGTTTTGTTAGTTGTTTGATAGATGTTTTTAAGTTTGTTGAGAACTATGGTACAGCCACTTCTCAGCATCCCCAGAGACTGTCTAGAGTAACAGCAAGGATAAACATTTCTAGGCTGGGGCTGGCCTTTGGACTTCCTATTGCTATGGAGATGGGATGAGATCACTTGTGACATAGGATGTATTTCTCAACCTCTCCACATGCTCCAGGCTCTGTGCCAGCATGATGCATGATGAATAGTATACTGGGTTATTTCCACCATGAAGTCTCAGTCTGAAGAAGTGGAATGTCAGCAAACTTTCCTTAAATAAAGTTGGACTAGGAGTCACAGGGAAAGAATGGTACATGGGAGGGGATGTAGTGGAGGCATTGTCAGAGTACTGGCTGGGCATGGCTGAAAGAAGAGTCTTCCAGGTCATGGGGTGTTGTATGGAGGCAGAATCTCTGTTAATGCAATTGGCCATCCAGGATTGTTCTTGTTCTAGCACTGTAAGTCTTATGTCCTGAACAAACAGGACATAAAAAAAGTTGGTCACCCTGGGTACAACAATGCCCCCACCAGGCTTCAGGGCCTCTCAGTACACCTCACAGAATTCACCATCCCTACCCCCCAGTTCCACAGTGCCCTGTGGTATACATGGTATATGCCCCCTGTTCTGAGCAGTGAAGGCCCTTGGCATATCACTAGGGTAGGTAGGTGGTGAGGGAAGACTGTAGGCCCCAGAAGGTAAAGCCTCTTTTGAACTCCTGAAGATGACCTGCACCCATCCTGTCTGCCCTCTGCCCCCAACCACCCATTCATAATTCTTCTCATATCACCTTCAGGTTGTAGCTGCATTCATAACCACAGACACTATTACTAGCTTAATCTTCTTCACTTTATTTGACTTTTTTCACAACCAAAATAAATATATTTCAAAAGGAAACTTCTCTTAGAAAATAATAGCCATAAGATGGTAGGTTTCGGCTTGTTAAAATAAATTTTTATCAGTATAAATTTTTAAAATTCCCTTTAAAAAATATCTACCTGTTCATTTTTTAGGACCAACATACCTCCTAGGGCCTGAACACATCCCAGGGCCAGTTACATGGGCTTGGCATGTGCAGTCATCCTGGCCCTGCTTAGCTCAATACCCCATTAATTTCTGTCTTAAAATTCTAATACTTTGTGAGTAGAGGACCCTGTGGTTTCATTGTATCTTTGCCTTGTAAATAATGCAGCTGATCCTGATGTATTCTCCTTGGCCATGGAGACTGAGGAGATATACAGCTACACAGTGAGGTCCCCAAACCTACCTCTGCTACTGTTCATGCACCCTTCAACTCAGGGGTTTGTTCTGCTCCTGGCTTTGTGTCTTCAAGCTGCCTACTCAAGCTTTGAGCAGTAGGCCTCTGTAGGTACAACAAGAAATCTTAGAAAATGCTGAGGCCTTAGCCCAGGACTGGAACCTCATAAAGGATCACAGTCTCTGTTGGGCTTGTGTGCCAACTCATGACCTTTTAATTAACTGGTGTCTACATTGGCCCCTGGGCTGGGCCTGAGGAGCCTGCATAGAAGCAGCCTCTATCTCCAGATAGATAACTTTGCTGAACCTGGAGTCACCCGTAAACTCACACCTCCTACAACCCTGGGGGCAATCATTCTACAACCTGCCCTCTTGGAGGGCAGAACGCAGTTGGCTTCTGTGGGTATGCAGAATAGTCACCAAGCTGCTGGATGGATAGTTGAGGACAGGCAGGACTACTGTTGTCACAGCAGCTCATTCTCAGCTCAGCAACACTCAGTAGCACTGTGGCCCAGTTGTTTTCATTATCCCTTTTTATAGGGAGAAAACTAAGGCCCTGAAGGCATACTTGGCTTTTTGCAAGGTTCCTAAGCCTCACAGTGGAGACTACTTGCTAAAGAGTTTGGGTTAAATACATGTCTTACCTCTCTACACGAGAAGGAGTTGGAGTATATTCCTGCCAGGGCTGTGTCATGCATTCCCAAGCCATCTTCTCTATGGCACTATGCTCCAAGGCATAGAGTCCATCTTGTGCCTTTGCTCTGGTAGTCCACAGCATCCCCACAGACCACAAATCCCAAACTATAACCAGTGCCTCCTCTCTTCCAAAAGATAGCACTTCAAAGCAATGCTGTCTTTCTGATGGTGTGGGCTTCCTGGCAGCTGATGGATGAGGTGTCCAGAAATTCCAGGGATCATGAACTTAGAGACAGAGGTAACCTCTTAGCCTTTTGGGCCTACCTAGAAAGAGACCACAGGTCTGTGGTCTGAGTGAGTAAGCAGTGGTAAAAAGTAACTCTAGACTGGGCATCCCCAGCTCCCATTTTACTTGAACCAGGTCGCCTTGTTGGATCTGAGAGAGTGAAGCTCAGGTTTGAGGACCCAAAGGGTGAGAAGCTCAGGAAGATATCCAAACCGTTCTCTATCAAAGCCTAAGGGAGGCTTGGGGACTTCTCAGCCACAGAGAGGGCCCATGTGATGGAGCCCTCTGTCTCTTTTAGCCCCGGGCTGTGTACTGCAAGGATGTGCTGGACATCGAGCAGTTCTCCACTGTGAAAGGTGTCAACCTGGACCATACGGACAATGACTTCTACTCTAAGTTCTCCACAGGCTCTGTGCCAATCCCATGGCAAAATGAGGTGGGCAGGGCACGCCATGCCACCAGCTTTTCTCCAAGAGGGATGGGTTGTCAGAGAAGATGGAGTGCAAGGGCAATAGAAGGGCCTGGGTTAGAAGCCAGCAAGGCAGCTGAGAGAGAACAGGCGGTGACGACAGCAGGGTGCCTCCCCAGGAGATCTGGAAATGGAGGGAAATGGGCATTTTCTAAAAGCACAAGCATTAAGTTGAGGAAGTCAGCTGATCAGATGTGGTCGGGATGATGGTCAAGTAAACTATAGGAGATGGTTTGGAGGGGGAAGAGTATGCCTTTGGTGGGTTCTGTCATTAGTGGAGTCCCCCCAGAAAGTTACAGAGGAGCCCTGTTGGAGGAGGGGCAGAGCCAGGCGGGCAGGGATAATTTCTCATGGGGAGGCCCCACCAGGCAACCGTATTCTTTCTGTTCTGCCTTTCTAGATGATAGAAACAGAATGCTTTAAGGAGCTGAATGTGTTTGGACCCAATGGTACCCTGTCACCAGACCTGAACAGAAATCAGCCTCCAGAACCTCCAAAGAAAGGGCTGTTTCACAGACTCTTCAGACGTCAGGTGAGAGAGCCAGCCTCACCAGCCTGGCCTTAGCTCTGGGATTCCAGCCCACTTCCACACACCAGAGATTCAGAATGCCCCTCGCCTGTATAGCCTGGCAGCCTGGAATTGTTAGTCAGCCTGTCCAAAGCCCCAACACCCCTGTTGGTGATGGGACTCCTGGGGGCAGAAGAAACAGGGTCTAATGTCAACATTGTTGACACAGGGAAGCTGATTCTTGTCATAGGTCTATGCCACATAGTGAAGGATGTTGGTAATAGAAAACATTACCAACCTCTGCCCACTAGACACAGAGGAAGAAACAGTTCAGCACCTCTTTCCCAGTGGTCACTACTAAATGTCCCCTGCAGGGCAAGACCACCTCACACCCATTGTTCAATGCCCCCACACTAGCTGTCAGCCCAAGGAATTTTCTCCCCTTGAGAACAGACTTTGTTCCCTCAAAGCTTATCCTTGAAGGAAGGATTGGTTTGGACCAAATGGAACAACAGCTTTGGGGAAGATCTGACAATCCAGAGAGTGTGAGAACCCAGGAGCTCTACTTCACAACTGCAAAGGCAGCTGTAGTTGTACCTAGTTGGCCTCGCCCTTTAAGAAGATGGAGTCCCAGGATTCCCATCTTAGAACTTGGAAATCTTTCTCTACTTGTCTCTCAACCTGTGTCAGCTGTGGTCCCTTGACATGAACTCTTTTAGCCCTCTCCCTCAGGTAGCAAGGATAAAGATAGTTATTTACAAAGATGAATTATGGATTAGGCATGGGCTGTGTACTTGGTACCCACACACCCCAGTCCCCATCCAATAACTCATTCATTCTACCACCATATCTCAGGTTCCCCCTGTGTACCAAGAGAGGGGATGACTCATTACCTGTGGGAATCCTGTTGAAGTGTGAACACATATGTGAACTTCCATTACTCTATTTCAGTTAAGGAAACTGAGACTGAGAGAAGTCAAAGAACTTAACCCTAGGTCACACATCTGGTGACCCCACAGGGAATCTTTTATCTAGGACACAGGGCAGGAAGCGTCTTCAGGCTCATGGGAAGTATAGACTGAGCCCCACCCTCTGCCAAGTTTGTGTGTTTTCTATAAAAATTTCATGTAAGTTTCATATCCTACACTTTTATACTACAATGAAATGTTTAAACATTTCCATCAAGTAAAACTACAAGTTATAGAAAGAAATTACCCTTTCCCTTTGCTCAGATATTTAGGCTTTCTTAATTCCATGGTTCTTTCTGGTCACCAAATGAAATCCTCTGTTCAAGGAGCACCCTGTAGACTCAGGTCTGCTGGGGAGAATGCAAAAAGCCAAAAAAGAAAGAATGGAAGGTTGGAACATTTTGGATTCTGCTGCTCCAACTTTCAGAGCCACCATGAGTGAGTCATCCATGGACTTTGAATTTACCAAGAACTGACTCTATTCTTCTTTCTCCCCAGCATCAGAACAATTCCAAGAGTTCACCCACTCCTAAGACCAGTTGTAACCACCGCATAAATTCAAACCACATCAGTTCAAACTCCACTGGAAGCAGCTAGTTTCAGCTCTGGCCTTGAAGTTCAAGGTGGAACCATCTTAGACCCTTCTACTTGGAAGCAGAACTTATAGCTGATGGAGCTTCCTCTGTGGCCAGGTAGCCAGGAGAGCTTCCCTGGGAACTGGATTAGGATACTGTTCATACCAACAATAAGCCTCCAAGTTTCTCAAAGAAATTTCCACTCAGGTCTGTTTTCTAAGGTGGCCCCAAGCAGGGGTGGACTAGAATTTTCCTTGTTGAACATTGCAATAGAAACCCAAAGGGATATGACAGCGTACACGGATTTTAACAGCATCCTAACTAGAACTGAATTTTGTCTTTATTATTTTTAAAAGGAAAGTTTTGTAAATTTCTCTATTGTCTCCGTTTACATTTTGTATATTTGTATTTAAATGAAAGTCAGACTTTGAGGGTGTATATTTTCTGTGTAGCCACTGTTAAGCCATGTGTTTTAAGACATTTTAGATGGGGGGGGGGGCGTTACAAAAACAATGTGACTCTAGACTTCCAGAGCCTCGAAAGAGAAAATGTTTTTATTAAATGTAGAAAATGTTCCACCTTTTACCTTTAAAGACCTGATTCCATCTCCCTATATCCATCACTCTAACTTTTTACTCAGTATAACTATCACTCTCCTGTTGACTTGTAACAATCTTAATGAAATACCAAAATGCACTTGAGACAGCCCTCCCCCAAACACTTTCTGTGGGGTAGGACATCATTGGTAAGAATACTTCTATGGGCAGGCATTTGACACTGCAGCTTCTCTTGTCCTCCTGCTGTTGAGTGTCTGGCATGCAAGACAGGGAATCCTAAGTCACTGGGCTGCAGATCTTGGCTGCTAAAGCCAGTGGTTTTCAAGAGGTTTCTGTTGTATTGTGGATTTCTACTATATTAGTTTTAGTAGTTTGTACTGATGATAAGGACTAGTCATGGAAACCCAAGTATTCCCAACCATGGGACTATGGAGAAGTATTAACTGGGGGTCCATCATGAGTGACTACCTCCGCGCCTGTTTAGGCCTTGGCTGGTCAGTAAGGTGACCACCAGATCATGACACCTTCATGGGGCCACACAGATTTGTTGGCTCATGTGATGTGAAGGAAGTCATCTTTCCAGGCAAATGGGATGCCTAAGAAGAAACTTGCACTAGTGAAGTGTGAAACAGTCTCATGGTCACTTGCCAAAGGAGAGCTAGCCAGAGGCTGGTTCTAATTGGGCATCTCAAAGTTACAGGCAAGTCACTCCTGGAAGACTTGATGGACCTACCTTTCCAGCCCTGTGGAGTTGTTGCCCAGCCCCTGGAATCCCAGGAGGTGACAAGATTTTCCCTCACCTTCTCACCAGGACAGGGTGAGCAGCTTAATCTCACTGCTCCCCTGGGAGGATGAGGCCCTGAGTATGATTCTGCCTCAAAATTTGTCTCAGCCACCAACTACTGGGGTTTCCTACAGAGTGAGCCAGGTGCTACCTGAATCAGCTCCTGTTAAAATGCAGATTCCTGCCTCAGCCTTCTGAGTGCTAAGATTACAAGTGCATACTACCATGAAGTCTGCACCTTTTCCAAACTACTCAGACCCTTCTGAGGCCCCACAGTGTAAGAACCATGCCCCAGGCCTGTGGGTATGGCCATTCCAAATGTGCTTTTCTGAAGGACCTGACAACTTTGGGACTTGAGCCTGTCAGGAGGAGAATCCCAAGCATGTCAAGCTCATATCTTTGACTCCAAGCTCTCCCAGGGCTCACTGCTGGAAAGGAGCCTGGCCTTTGGGACTAATCATCCTGAAGTCAGTAACCCAAAAGAGAGGAAACAGCCAGGCTCTATGGTGCATGATTAACCCCAAGCCTGGCCCTCTGGCTGCTTCTAAACCTTTTTGGGGCTGAATGGGAAGCAAATGCAAATGACCATATCCAGGTTCTACTCAGTACTTCCAGATCATCAAGCTGTTGCTCATGCTTCTTCCTTGATGAAAAAAAGAATTATCATCCTTCTGGGATGGTTACCAGACCCAACCACATGCAACCCCTGCCTCCTTTGCATAGGTTTGTTCCTATTTCCCTACCCAAAGCCATTTAACTCTTGTCAAGTAGGTAACTGTTAGGAAACAGCTTCTCCTTAGTTCTCAAAATCAAGGCCATGTCCATTTGCAACAGAGAATCCCCAGGAAGCTAAACAGAACACACAGGTTTGGCTACCACGTGTTCCCATCAAGAGATCCTGAAAGACCTGTGCACTGAAATGTGCCTGCGTGCCTATGGGAGGTGGGGGTGGTCACGTGTTTCAGTCTTTTGGTTTGTTTTGGCCTACTCATGGCTTCTTAATAAGAAACAGTGCCTGAAAAGTATTCCTCCTCCATGACTGAGTCTTCCTCCTGCCCTTGTTTCTATAGCTGCATTTAAAAAAAAAAAAAAAAAGTTTTTTGTTTTTAAATGAAAATAAAGCCCTCTTCCCTGTCCAGGAGAAAGTATATGTGGACAATGAATGGATGACACTTTGCTGTGCATGTGAGCTCTTTGCAAGAAGAACCTTTCTTGCTTAGAGTGTGTTATGTTTGTCACCAGATACCCACTGACTTGGAGTGAGAAGCTTCTCTGCTTTTGCTCTTTGGGAAATAGGCCTCTGTCTGCAGTAGGTAGGGTGGTCACTGCTCAATCATTCTGTCTGTTAAACCCTTTAGCAGGGGAGGTGGGGGCTCTGAATATCACCCCCAGAATATCGAGAATGCCTGATCCCTACCTCCCAGGAAGATGGTGTGTACCCTCTAATCATTCTTAATCCTAAACTACAAGCCTCCAAGTTCACTTACCTGCCTAGGGGTTGAGCCTGGCTGTAGCCACAGGACTGGTCTCTGGAATGTGTTGCTTTCTGAGAGGGGCAGTCAGTAAGAGGTCTGCATCACAGACCCAGACAGATAGTCTCAGTGATATGCATACCTGACAGGGACTGGCCTATGATGTTTCTCATCAGTTCATATGCATGGGGACATGTGCATGACACTGCTTTGTATTAGAGGCACAAGTAAGATGGGCATGTGCCTCAGAGCTGAGGCCAACCCCTGAAAAAGCCACGGCTGGGAAGTTCCCATGCTTCTCCAAGGAACTTAGCCCCAATATTGAAATATGTTGTTTTCTTCTGGACCAAGTACTTTATTGAAAGGCTGGCTCTAGTTTCCAGCAAATTAACTGAGCTACTAACCTCAACACAGAGCAGGCAATGCAGCCTACTGGAGCCTGGCATTCTAAGCTTCAACAAAGGGAATGGACAACTAAAGGTCCCAAGAGGAAAAGAAAAGACTGATCCCAGCAACACTGGGGTCTTCTCTTGGTCTATTGTGTGCTTGCTTTTCTGGTTGTACCCTTATCCCCTCTCAAGTGTCTCCCATCTTCATATTCTAATACCTGAAATAGGACCTTCTAACTTGGGTCTTACTATGGAAAAGCAGTATAAAGTCTCTTCCTCCAGACTACAGTTGGGAAGTCTCACCCTTTCTGTACCCATTTGTACAACCAGTCACCCAGCAAGTGAAACTGACAGGTATGTAGGCAGGATCTAGACAGGCACATAAAGTGCCTCCTCTGGCCCAAACTGAAAAGTCTTGACTCAGGACAATGATTTAACATGTGAACAAGCTAGTTCGCCCTAGGAAAGAAGCATCATTAACCTTAAAGGAAGATGCTGGGCATTGGGCATCTTTCCAGTTCATCAACCTACCATTCCTATAATAGATCATAAATAAATGTTGTCCATTAGAAGGGCATTGTGGTTACTGGCATCGTTATAATGTAACTCTACTATCCAAAGGTTTCCCCCTCCCATCCCATCCCCTGGGATATTTTAGCATTAATGAATGAACATGGTTCCATTTTGGAGGTTATTCTCAATGATAACGGCTTCTGTTGTACTGCTCTGAACCTCTCATGTTCCGTTCACTATGTCACAGTGCCACCATGTCTAGCCACAACCACTGTTGTTTTATAAAAGTAAATAAATAAATAAATTCCTTAATGAATATAACCTTGCATTTCTTTCCTTCTGTGGAGACGGTGACCTCTTTTGTCTGTGTGACAATCAATTGCCTGAAAGATGTTCATACCGACTGCTGTGGCCTCCCAATTAACCTTTTCTCAAATCAGTTCCACCCAAACTACATCTGGCCCTCGGCAAGAACCGCCATCATATGGCTCAGCTCTGCTAGGCATTACATAAGAAGGCCAGCAGGACTCTTACCAGGCCATCAGCTTTTGAACCCAAACCCAGCAGGTTCTAGCCATGGGACAGAGTAGAGTAGGACAAGAATGCCAGGAGACACCCATACTCGAAGTCTGATGAGCCTTTTACACGAGAGGCAGGCTCTTTAGACAGCATGATTCAGCTTTAATATATGGTATCCAAATCTAAAGGTCAAGACCCCTTAACTACTATTTAGTCCTGAGCAGGCCACTGTGGGCCTTCGCCTGTCAGAGCTACACCAGGTGGCTCATAGAGGACTCAGGACATGGGACACCCAGAACCCAGGCCTGTGCCATGGAGGACCTGGTCCCCTGGCTAACTCTAGATCTTTTTTGAGATGGGGTGAATACAGTGGCAGATCTCACATTCATTCACACACGTGCATGAGAACTAGGTGTTTCCCTAGCAAGTACTTAGTAGAAATGCACAGAAGAAGGTGGCTTTTTGAGGCTCCTGTCTCTCAGCATGAGCTCTGGAGTCCGTATTCCCCATGGAAGACTTTAATTCCTGGCTCCTAGAAGCAGACACCTTTCCTAATTGGAAGGACACATTGAGACAAAAGCTCTTTGTAGGTGCTGCCTTACAATGAGATGGCATGGGAGGTTCATCTATAACTGAAAAGGGATCTTACCTGGAATGAGAGAAGAGTTGCTGAGCTTCAGTACTGAGGAAGCAGTCAACAGGGACATGTGGCTGATTATGTGTGAAGACTTTCAAGAGAATGTGGAGGGACCCAGGAAAGGAAGCCTTCCAACTTAGAGACCTCATTAGAGATAGTGGGAATCTTTTCTAACTCTTACTATCTCGGGGACTTTTACCAAACTAGAAAACCCACTGCCCCAGCCAGCCTCCAAGGCCAACAGAAGCTGCTGTTCCTTCGGACAGGATCCCAGAGAGAAACTCTAGCTGTCTACCTCATTATACTATTCTGTCCAGGCAGACAAGGAGGACAGGTGGGAGGAAGTGCTGATCCACCACCCCACTTCACCATATACAGCTGTGCACAGTATATGGGCTCACTGAATGGTCTCCATTCGACTTATGCCCAGGAGAAACTGGAGGTGCATTCTCCTCTCTCCCTGCCCCTCCTGGGACACCAGGGAGTGTCAGGCTCCGGCTGAGATCTACCTAGATCCCTGGAGATGGTGACTAGCAAGAAAGTTTGAGTGTTGGGAGGCTATGGTGATATTTTGTTTATGATCTAACAAATAAAGCCTTCTTGAAGATTGGAGTACAAAGCTAGCCACACTACTCAGCCGTAGAGGGCATGCAGTGGTGGCATACACCTTTGCTACCAGCAGCCACACTAGTTAGCCATAGAGTCTGGGTGGTGGTGGTGCA